AAAGACTTTCGAATGCAGTGCAGTGACAAAAATATACAGGTGTATAAAAGTAGAACGACGGGTACATTTTTGAAAGTGAACTTTGAAAGGAAAAAAAAAGAACGAAAGAAAAAGACAAAAAAAGAAAGAAATCATTTCATGTTTAGATGATTAAATTTCACCTTGTTTCTGTGTACATTCAAACTAGATTATCAAATGCCCATTATGATTATTTTTGATAAATTTCTCTCTATTTTCTTCGGTTCTTTCAGAAGGAGAAATTAACATATTGCAATTATCCATAGTTTCTTACTTCTGTTGATTGGCTTCCTAACCTCGCAAGAGACCTTCGGCAATAATGATGCAAATAAAAAAAATCGTTTTCCTTAATTACAATTTTTATGAGTTGTCGAAATGATATCACAATGATATATATTTTCATCTGCTACATGCCTTCAAAATGAGAGAATAATTTTTATGTTCTGAACAAATTTTTTCTCTCTGTGTATTTATAAATATCAGTAAAAACAAGGTGTGATGAACATGCGATATCATTGCGATGACGATGCATTTTTTTACCTTTGTAAAAAAAATTATAGTTCTTTCACTATAACAAGGTAAATTTAGTGACTTATGTTTGCCTGTGTTATTCCTTATCGGCTCATCTCTCAAGTACCCATTGTTCGCATTCATATAATGAATGCAAATGAGAAGCACATAAATCCTATTTAAAGGCCAAACTAAAATAATCAAATGTAGTAAAAAGAACGAACAGTTATTTGTTAATCATGTTTTTATTTTACAAATATAAATCGGTCAATTTCAGATACCATTGTAGTCAATATCTTGTACGAGATAAAAATCATTAAAACGAATTTCAAATGATGTTCAAATATAGTTTTTGACAAGTATAAATAAGAAAAAAAACAGTTTCATCTTTGTTCATATTTTCTTTTTTTGTCTTTCAGTTAATACACATGTTCAGGCGGATCATATAAGTGGTCAATTGAAAACATTATTTTCAAGATGTAAAAGTATTCTTTTGCAGTCTTGTATATAAAAAAAAAATGAAATTTAATGAAGAAAGTCAAAGCTTTGCTTTTATTGTTTTGAAATGCTAATCTTCAAAATACGTATAGACAGTATAAAAGAGAACATGTTTTTTCTTTCTTCTCATTATATTAAAGGTATACGACAGTTTAGTTATTGTAATGTGACATGATGATACGATCATGTTTCTTTTTATTATCATGCATACCTTTGATTTTATAATAAAAACAAATGCGTATCTTGCTTTTCTCTCTTGACAGCATTTTAAAAACTACTTCATATTTTAATATCGTGTTGGAGTTATAAAATAAATGTAAGAAGTATTAAAAAAAAGTTCATATGTGCCTTTGAAAAGTTATATCAACATGATAATTTCATTGGAAAGATCGATCGATTATTAAAAGTTTGTTTTTTTTTTGAATAACAGTTAGATATTCGACAAAATGCAAGTTGTTTAATTCAGTTTCTGTTTGTGTTTGCCTCTTTTTTCTAAGTAATTTAAATTAATTTATGCAAGGTTTTTCAAAAAAAAAGTTTCTTTTGTTTCTCAATTTGTGTTTCTTGCAAGATTATTCAATTGATTGCAGAACTGAAATAACATTGCTAGCATTTGAATTTTGACAATAATTTCATTTTATATTTTTTGAATTATGTAATGATGCCAAAAAACATAATTCTACACAGCAATCATTATCCTTTATTCTTTTGTAATTTCACTGGCATGATGCATCTCTATTTGATAGAGATAATTAATAACAATAACTCATCATGAATGAACATATTCATCCATAGCAAAGGGTATTTTAATATCATAATTTGTTTATCAAATGCTAGTTGAAAAACATTCTCGATTCCTTTGATAACTTGCATGAGTATGTAAAATAGCGAGTCTATTGTTCGTTTGTTGCGACCCTAAGTAAAGAAAATTCGTGGAACAAAGAAATATGACGGTCACTAATAAGAAATAACTGATTAGTGTTCCATGATTCTTTACATTGAAGAATTAGTTGATATGCATTTAGAAAACATGATCTAAAATTATTATTGAAATATAAAGGTAAAAAATTAGAACATCCTTCCTTACAAACCATACCTCCACAACTATAAAATGCTTCTAAATGTTCAATCTACCTATTGAATAAATTTGAACACGGTGTCTTTTTCAATTATTGATTCGAATAGACATTGATGAAGAACTCAATTATTTTTATAAAAATTCTTTGTTGCAATCATTCAGTAAATGAGTAAATATTTTATTATGTAACACGATACGCTTTTTTTATATTCTGTGACATACGATACATGACTGATCAAAGAACGTAATACATTTTTTAATAAATATACATAAATCAAACTTGCTTATAAAAAGTGTTTTTGAAAGAAAAAGTTTATCATTATTCAATATTATCAATTGCAAAATATTTCCTTTTCTCGAACACATATAGAAATCCGAGATGACAAAAATTCGAATTAACGATGAGTATAATTTATTAGAAATTTTTACATATGAAACTTATACAAATGTTTATTTTCAATGAACTACTTTCTTCGTATCAACATAAAAGATAATCATCATCTCTTATCTTTGCTAGTTAATAACTTAAATATTGCCTTTTTTTTGTTCTATATGTAATAATTGTTATTTTGAACAGTGAATTATGTTTTTACACTATTCACTAAAGAAAAATTTCTATTTCTTCTATGCATTAGGTATTTACAAAATAAAATCGTATTACTGTGATTAAATGCGGTTTTGTTTTGGTTTACAAAATGCTTATAAACACTTGATAAGTTCTCTTTTTGTACTAGAAAATCCATGTATCGGAATGTGGAGAGAACAATATTAATGTAACTAGTTTCCAATTGTGCGACAGCTTGTGCCCTGCAACAAAAAAAAATTATTCAAATATGGAATTCTTGATATTTATCTAATTAAATATGTGCTGTTCAGTTAGTCTCCGTTTCGACCTCGACATTAAAATCGAATTGAATAATGTATGCTGTAGTAAAAACTATTTTTCAAGAAAAAAAAACCTGTCCTTCTCTCAGTAGTTTTTTAAAATTTGTTCTATGATCCTTCGAGATGTCTTTTTGTTGGGAAAAATATTTAATGTCGAAGCATATATTATTCGATTTAATTTTAACGTTATTTTTTTTTTGAGAGGAGAAACAATCGCACTATCGAAAAATAATTGCATTGACGTCGTTTTTCCAACGATCTGATTCATAGATGTCGTATTAGAGAAAGAGAACTTATCAGATGTTTAAATACGTTTTGTAGACCAAATAAAATCGCATAGAATCTCAGTATTCAGTATGAAAAGAAAACGTTAGTCAAGCCCAATTCTAAATGTGCATGCTAATAAGCCATATCAGCTTCTTGTCATTGATACTAATGAAGTTCACTACAATAAAGGATGCCGAATAATATGGTCTGTTTCGAGGTATCAAGGTTTTTATATTAACATACTGGGTCTTTTGTAAATAGATATGTAATTAATAATTGTAATTTGCCTTGTATTGCTAATTTGTATACAAAAGCAGTAAAAAGTAAAGAGAAAACATTTACTCAATCGCTTATAAATTCATAAATATATGATACAACATATCTGAATGAGATGGAAATAAAGCTCTTGGTTTAACATAGTGCTATTTTATTTTCACTGAAGACGATGTTTCTAGAAGATCTATTGATAAAATACTCACACAAATATAAGAATGGCACATACAGAAATCCTAGATACATTAACATTTATATGGTGTAACTTGTACATACAGTGGCTATTGAAAAAAAAAACTTGGAGGATTTAGACTTCATTGCATACCGTCGAAATGTGAATAGAGGACACCATCATCTCCATAATTCTAGTAGAATACAACAGAGATGATGTTCTCTATTGACATCTAAGCAGTACGCAATAGAACTTGATGATACATAAACAATTAGATAGAGAAAGTCTTCTTTTTCTTCTTCTCCTAGTCAACACAGATCTTGTTCGAGAATCGAAAACTACTGTGCAGCTCATATTCGCGTTTGCATCATTCTTTCGATGATGACAACATTGAATAAACAAAGATAATTCCTTCCTTTTTTTTTTGCTTTTATTCATATGATAAAAGAAATGGTGAAGCTATAAATAAATATCTTCAATAGATGTACTTTGGACACACATTTTTCAAAAAAAAAACGTCATTTTCGATTCCTTTGCATAGTTTAGCAACAAGAATGCACCTGTCGATGATTAATATTTTGTTCTCTTTCTTAAGTAAGAAGATTTATAAAGCACAATGCATTATGTATGTCATTCGTTCTTTTACTTACACGATGTTTGCGAGGACATTTATTCGATATTTATAAGAATGTTTTATCTATTAGTAGACTGGGAAATTTTATAAACAGGTAAACATTTTCGTCAAGGAATATCACAAAAACTATCTTTGAGCTTCATTTTGCTTGTAAGTAGACAGGGCTTTCATCTTTTTCAAATTTATTGATTATGTACATTAGTTATTTTACTGATAAGTCAACGCAACAAAATCAACATAGAGTTAGATGTAGATGTCATATAATAGAGTTTCAATTATTCCTTCGAGTCTCAATAGCTGAGACCATCTGTCTGAATAGTGAAAGACGTATGATTTACCTCTAACAAAGGAAATTCATTTATATATCCTTTTTGATGAAATTATTAGTGATTCATAAATAACGTTTATATTATAAATATTCCAACTGCATGGAAGAGGGCAGAGTAAAATATTTATTTCTCTAGTTCGAAGCTCAGAACTCTTCGTCCTTGTCTACTGTAAGCTTGCTTATTGTAAAGAAGTTTATCATTGTTTTTCCACTTTATCGAGTGAGTGCAAGATGCAAACGATATCTTATTTCTTTTTCTCTTTCAGATTAACATTCACTACAAATGAAACATAGCTGACATTTGCAAAATTTCTATTTACAAAAACACAAATAGACAATGTTTGAAGAAAATATTGATGAAAAACGTGTTGTTACTGATACAAATATGTTACTAGAAAACGTCATCTGTCCGATATGTTATTACATCCTATGGAAACCTATTGCGTGTGGTTCATGTAAAAATTTATTATGTCGAAAATGTTCAGATAAAAATTCAAATCTATGTCCATTTTGTCGTGTAACATTTCAAGAACAATCTCCTGAATCAAACATTCTTTCATTATTATATAATTTACGTATTCGTTGTTATAATTCTTCAAATGGTTGTACAGACATTGTTTCGTATGATTTATTAGAACAACACGAAAATCTAGAATGTAAATATATTTCTAAAAAATGCCATCGATGTCAACAAAGAGTACTTATAAAAAATATTGATCAACATGAAAATTTATGTGAACCAATTTATCGAAATGAATGTTTACAAGAAAGATCAAATGAAAGAGTCGACCATCGACAATCAATATTTCCTATGAATCAATTTCTTATGGAAATTTTCAATTCAATTTTTTCTCTAGGACAAAGACCAAGAACGACATTTAGAAACAATCTTTATCAAAGTGCAATATTTAATCAACATCATCAACAAAATTATTTAGTTCTATTTTGGATATTATTTAAATTAATTGTACTCAAACCATCAATCATTCATTTAGTTTTGTTAAAATTTTTTATCTTTGACATGCATAGTTTTAGTAATATTGTAATATGTATATTATGTTATATAGCAATATGGATTTGTTTTCCTTTTATTCGACGACATCTTATTCTTTTTGTATATAGTGAATTATCAAAAAATGTTATTTGTTTTGTACTTACATCGATTAATGATACATATTTTACTTTATATCTTATGTTGACATCATTTATTTCGATTTTAATTAATTTACAATTATCAATACATGATTTTCATTTGAATAATAATTTTGAAAAAAGTTTACTATGCATTCTATTAGATTTTATTTTACCTAAACTATGTCTTTTGATGCTACGCTTATTTTTTGAAATTTTACCATCATTTATATGTACTATATGTTGGTCATTAATGGTTATTTTTACTATTGGTAGTTTATTTTAAAAGATATAGATTTTATTTATTTATTAACGATAAATGGTATCAATAATGACAAAAAAAAACTGCTAGATTATCTTTCCGTTTTTTTTAAATTAATTTATTTTAAACGAGAATTTATTAAATATTTCTTCTCTACTTTTAAATACAAGAATTTATAGTAATTAATAATGTATGTATCAAAATTAATAAATTCTTATTGAAGATATGAAAGTGAAGAGTAACTAATAATATTTTTTGCAATGAATTTGCTTGTCTTTATATGACGACTAACGTTATATAATATGTTTTTTTTCACTTTTTTTTTTGTTCGAAATGATTCATAGGTTGATGGAAGATAACCATCAGTGCTTCCTATAATGGCCTCTATGATCGATGCATTTTTTCTTTTGATATGTTATCTTTGATGTGTACTTGAATGAATAGATAATTTATCTCTATTATGCATACTGAAGAACTTTTGTATTACGGCGAAGAGCACGTATTGTTTTACTGATAATTTCTCTTTTTGAAATAGATTTTTATTTTTAAAGCTATAACAAATTTCTTTGTCAATACAAAGAATAACAATAGCTAAAAATCAAAAAAACCTCAATGTTAAATAATTCCTTTAAACATATGATATTGTTTAAATTGTTGATGAAGTTGTTTGAGTAATTCACGTTCAGCAATTGATATTTGTCCACTATATTGTTCAACACGTTCACCACTTATTCGAAATAATTCAAATGCTACACCATTTAATGTTTTCTAATAAAATATTTAGATTAAGTTGTGTTTTTTCAAATAAAAAAAAAAATCAATAACAATTATATTTACTTTAAGTGTAGGAGAAAGAAAAACTCCTTTAGATAAAAGATGAACATAATCAATAAGAACATAAACAATTGTAGAACGAAAATCTTCTTTACATTGTTCAATAAGATGAGCAGATAATCTAAATAAAGAGGATAACATAAATGAAAACGACATAGTACATATTTACTTTGTTATATCACGTGCTGCTTCAATTAAATTTTCTTGTTTTTGTTGATTTTCTTTTGCTTGAATAACAATTGATTGAAGAAGTACTAAAATTTTATACATAAAAAAAATAAATAAATAAAACAAATACTAAACTCTTACATTTAATAATCGTCTCAACTGTCGGTACATGTTTACATAATGTTATTGTATGATATTTAATTAATAAAGAAACAAGTTTACAAATATTTGAATGTTGTAAAAATAAAATATTCATTGGTAAATGAAGACAACATTGAAGTAAACTTAAAGCAACTTGAGAACGTAATTGAGACTAAATAAAATAAATTAACATTTGGAATTCATAAGATAATTTATTCAAACCTTTTTTGTTATTAAAACATCATTAGCAAATGATAAAACAAAAGAAACAACTTCAATATATCGTGAGTATTCAATTGGAAGATGAGTTAATAATGAACCACATTGAGTAATAACCTAGGAAAAAAAAATTATTAAAATTTTTAAGATAATATTCGAACACAAACGTTATAGAGATATTCAATTCATAGTAGATGAAAGTATAGAGTTCAAGGCTATTGAATGAAACTTTCTCATCATTTAAACGAAATTGGTATTTTCTACTGCAAGGACTGTATTCATTTTTAACTATGAAGTTTGCTCAAATGTATATTATTCTTCTACTCGTTGAAAACCCTATGTCGACGAAATAAACAGATTTTAATTATTGACCATCAAGGTAAACTATTTTCTTCAAACTGCTGAGTAGTGTCCCATCAACTATGTCTTTTTCTCATAGTGACTGGTTAACACCAGAATCAGAGTTTTTCTCTATTTTCAAATACATATTCAGACTTTCCTTCTCAAGTAAGATTGAACAACTATCAGTAAATTTTATTAAAAAAGACCAAAAATTGAAAATACTTAAAGGTAGCCCCCCTCCCCCTTTTTTTGGCCAAACAACCGGTCTGTTTACGACCTCCTTTCAACTTTGTCCAATCAGACTGAAATCTTCACTACAAATACTTGGAAATATTTTCTAGAGGTAGAATCGATCGTTTTCGTTTTTGACCTTCTTATTAGAATTTATAGGGTTCTGGATGTACGCACTCCTGTTTTGGATCCGAACCCTTATCGTATTGCTCTCATGAAAAACAAAGAAAGCAAGATTTTTGAAAAAGCTTAAAACTACTTCTGAGATATAGTCTAAAGTATCTTCAAAATAATTTTCAACCCGATCGGACTAAGTTAAGTTGGGGGTCATAAGCGGGTCCGATTTGGTCCTATGGAAAACCATGGTTAAAACTTTTTTCCTCGAACACGTGTATCATTATTTTCGGTGCTCACTTTGTAGTAAAAATTTCAGGAAGATCGGTTGTACTCTCTTCGAAAACTAGAAATAGTCAAAAAAAGGAGGAGGGAAGGAGATACCCTTAAGTTTTAAAATCTATAATACAAAAGTAAATAGCACGATTTATAACACAATTCGAAATATACGCTTTCAATCACCTGTCATAACATGAATGAGGTTTTCCTTTTTTCTTTCCTGTTTTCTTGAAAATTTTAATAACAACATATTTTTGACTTTGTTCTTCTATAATGTTAAGTGTATGATAGTTTTCAGACTCTGGAAGCTATTTTTTAATAATGCTATTTTAATGAGTACAAAAAATGAGAGATTGTAGTAGTTTTCTTTTACGATCTTGTGTTAAAAATATCACAAAATTGAAAACAAACGAATTCTTCTTACAGAATTAATTTTTGTTAATAAATAAAGATTATTTTCTTTATTTAATGAACAATGACTTAATGTTTGTAATAATTGAAATGCTTGACGACAATTATTAATATCTTCTTCTTGATCTTCTAATGGAATTTTCTATAGTAAAAAATATAGAAGTCAATAGATTTCTCAATAACAATAAATATAATATACTAACAATATATTGAGTAATATTTTCTATCCATTGTTGAAATTGATTATGATCAATTGATTGAATAATTTTTGATATTAAATCATATTGATCATTTAAACATTTAACTAATGCATTAATATCATCCATAGTTGAATTTAATTTTAAAACATATTCCCATTGTTTAGCATAAGCAATAACAACATGTTTTAAATGATTTGTTTCATTAATTTCTCTTATAATAGATTTCCATGTTTGTTGAAGAAATTTTAAATATTTATCAAATGATAATAAACTATTTAATATAATCATAGCTAGAATATAACGTGTATCTAATGATGAATATGATATAGATGAATGTGATGATGAATTTAATAAACGATCAATTATTAAACAAAGATCATTTGATGATATTAATAAACGACTATGAGAAAATAATAGAAGATATTTTTCTAATAAACGAATATTTTGATAATCTTCATTGATTTTCATTTCATTAAGAATTTCATTAACTTTTATTTTTAATATCAATTGATAATTTGTATTATTTGATATAATTATTAATACTTGATCAATCATTTTTTCATTATTAGTATTTAATGTAAAATTTAATAAATGATTTATAAATAGAGATGGTAAAATTTTTGATGTATGTATTATATCAAGAAGAATTTGCATTGATTCTAAAGATACAGGTGATATATTTAATGCAAGCCAACCAATTGAGATTAATATTCCACATGTGTGAATACTATCAAAATTAATCGAAGAAAATAACTAAAACAATAAAAGATACACGTTTTTTTAATCCGTAGAGATTATGCTAAATAACTTTTTTTTTTTGATGCATCATAAAAGTTAAGCTTTGCTTTGGATTATAATCATGTAGGATTTAAAGTAATTTTCATTTTTCAATACATTCTCTATTCTGTAATTCAAGCTAATAGTAAAACAATAAGGTGATCGTATTTATCGAGACATCTGATCTTCTCTATTAATAAGGAAAAGTCTTATGTGTCCATTTTTGTCGCGCTTATTCAAATTGAACGAGAAAAAAACACATTATTTATACTTACTGGAATGATTTTACCATCGATTGTACATGATTTTGTTTGTAAATAATCATAAAATGAACTAAAATAATTCTTACATATTATCTAAAATTTTACAATATAGAAAAACTTACTCAATATTATCTTCAAAATCAATTTTTCGTCGTTTTTTTGGTTGAGAATCATCACTAAACAAAATAAATAGTATTAAAAATCTTCTTGTTTTATTTTTACATAGAATAATTTACTGAGCATTAGTTTCAATAGCATATTCAACAGATGCTTGAACAATTAATCGAAGACGATCTTCATTTGATATAAACCATGATCGATCAATGCTACAAATAAATTAAAATCTTTCGTTTTCATAAAGTACAAGAAAAAAAAAAAAGTAGTTTCATTTACTTTGGATTTTCAATAATTTGTTTTATAAATAATTTGATTAATTTATATTGTTTAGTTTTAGATAAAAAATCAAAAAAAGGTTCAAGTTGATCAAAAATTGTTGTCGATGAAAATGATGATAATTCAAGTAAATTTTCAATTAATTTTGAATCAATATCATTTTCATTTGTTGCTAATGCACGATACAAACGTTGACAAGCAAGAGAAAACTTAATAATAGAAAAAATAAAACTATTTTTAATTTAAAAATAAACAAATTTTACTAATATCGATTGAATATCAGTATCAGATTGAAGAGATATCCATTGAGCATGAGAAAGTAATAGACCATTATGATTGTATATGTCATCAACAGGTGGTATAGATGATGAGAATGATAAAAGACATAAAGAAAACCATCCTAATGATAAATAACATTGAAGAATACAAATACGATGACTTGAATTTGATGATGTTAACTAAAATTTATTTAATATTGACATAATTTCAATGTTTAAGAGAAACTTCAAATTTCAAAAACTAAACAAGAAGCCTTTCATGGAATCAACTGTAGGAGTTTACAAGATTTTGCGTCATTCTAGAAGTTTAATTATTTTTTAAGAAATCCAATGGAGTTTAAAAAAATTCGAATAATCCTAGTTGATAAAACTTTCTTGTCAAATTAGTATTGTTTTATTAAAATTCTGATCTATAGTAAAGTATTCAGCAAAAACTTAAATTTACCAAAATTTCAATCTAAAATTTTTATATAATTAGATCTCAAATCTTACTAGGAAATGTTCTCCAGTGTGACTTATCAATCGAACTAATATTTTGTCCATAAATTAGTCTTGCTGATTTTAGAATGTTCTCAAAATATATCTCAGGAACAATGGCAAATCACACCTAGGGACTGTCCATTTGTCATCTGAAATGAATACTTTCAACATTACCATAGTTTCATTAACTTGTTGACGTAATTTTTCTAATGTTCTATTATATTTTAATTGATTTTGTTCAATTAATATAGTACGTGAAATATTTAAATCAAATAGACGATAACCATTAAGAAGAGCACTAATAAATTGAATAATAATTAAATGTATTGTACTATTTTCTAATTGATCTAATAATGATAACCATATTTCATCGACTAATGTATGTGTACATTGTGATATACATTTACGATAACTAGATATTTAAATTGAATTAAAATAAATTTCTTTTCTTTTTTTTTTTTTTTTGAAAAAAAAAGAATTAACTTACTGTTGTAAAACTTTTTCTGGTAGAATAATTGATTTATCAAATGCAATTGTTAAACGTTTAGTTAATTTTGCTAATGATCTCATTCGTGAATATAAATCAATATAACCAATAAGAAATATTGAAAGACATTGATGAGAATCAATAAATAATTGTATTATTTGAGATAAATTTGTTTCAATTAATGTTGGATGAAGATCAAGACAAATAACACATAGATTTGCATAATTTTCAGTTTTTTGTTCATAAGAATGTTTAAATAAAATATCTTTCATCCAATTTGTTATACGTTCTTCTAAAGAATCATTTAATAATTGATCAATTAAATGTTTTTCATCAAGAATCTATGAAGAATTGAAAATTAAATTTAAGAAACAAAAAAAAAAAAAGGAACATATTTCTTTACTTGAAGTAATTGACAAATACCATTAAGATATAAATTATCATTTGGAATTTGTTCAAGCCATGTATTCATTTGAACTAATAATTCAAATATATCAGCTATTTTTTCTCTAAAGATTTTTATACAAAAAAATAAAATAAAATAAAATAATATTAAATAATAAATTAACTTACGATTCAATCAAATTAATACAATGACGAAAAACAAGTGGAAGAAAACTTATGACATTTGAATTTCCCTTAACAAAACCATAAAATTAATTTTTCTTTTAGTCTATAAAAATTATTTTATCATACTGCAATAACCAGTGTTTCAAGTGTAGTAAATAAAGGTGATACAGAACAAGATATCGTTTTTGTTGATGATAAAGATTGTATATAATCACGATAAGCTGTAGTCCATGTTCTAAATATAATAAAAATATTTGTAAATTTATTTTTATTTCATAGAAATAATATTACCTATGAAAAATAATATGTTTAAGAATATCATCGATAATAGATGACAATGATAAATAAATTGAACGAATATCCAATAGAGGAGAAAATAATTGTTTGGATAAATCAAGAAATACCTAAAATAAATAGAAGTTTTTTTCTTTTTCTTTCAATATTGATGAAAATATGAGAGAGAAAAAATTATTCAGGTTCTACCCAGATTTGAACTGGGGTCGCTGGATTCAAAGTCCAA